GGTAGATATCAATCTGAGTGTGATCTGGTAAGCAAGCCTGGGGGCGATGTCAACCCGTTGGTGGATATTACTTTTGTTGATGATGTGATGATCCCCATAGTGCAGGAGAATGACGGCATTATTCAGAGCGTGAAGGATGCCATGGACATCATGCACGCATCGTTTGTTGCACACTTCATGGAGCCGAATTACGGAAGAGGAAAGACGGGTGCGCTTTTCCAGCTCCGAGGACCAAGCCGCGAATCACTACGAGAAGCATTGTATGGAGGGGAGTTTGCGATGACGAGTGGCAAGTATGGGTTCACATTTCACATCGAAAGACATTACAAACATATGGGAGTGGTGGTTTCCTTTGACTGCTCACGGCGGCCAGAAATTACCAGACGTATTCAAAGTTGTGAACGGGCACTAGGCCCTATCAGACGGGGCATCATACCACGGAAAAGTATAAAAGATGAGTTCAAGGTTAGATATATGGAGGCACTGGCCTTTTCGCGGCTATTTCAGCAGATTGAGATATGGCATGAACTGGGAGAAAGGAATGAGTCAAGGCTGAGGGCTGCATATATGAGGGGTCTTAGGATGGCAACAGGACTAGCACGCAATGCAGGCACGGTGGAGCACCACCTCGACGAGTATGTACTTTGGAAAGCCAGACGGGCGGATTTCACGATGATTAAGCGTATTAGGAGGCTGCGTTATCTCGAAAGGGTGGTGAATCATGCGCCGGCGACCTTAAGGCGGCTGGTGGATATTCTTGGGACTGAGGGTACCTGGCTTGGTATGCTGGAAATGGACTTCGAATGGCTACAGCTATGGAGGAAGACAGGTGACACGTCAATGGAGACGCGACAATGGATCGAGCTCATACGGGAGGCTCCCAAGAAGTATCTGGCTATATGTAATGTTGCATGGAAGCGCTTTATGCAATGGCATGTAGATCATTGTCAACATGTGGTATGGCACCATAGAATTAGAAGTATGGTTCCAAGGGAACATGAGGTGCGTCAGAGTTTACGCTTCTTTTGCTATGAATGTGGAGCCACGTTTGAAAGCAAGTGTGCGTGGAACGGTCACCGCACCAAAGTACATGGCAATAGTGATGATATACCTCGGTATGCGTATGATGGGTATTGTGCTGCATGTGATGTGAACTTTCATACAAGGAAAAGGTTGATTTATCACATGAAATATCGCCACACCGAATGCATTGATCTACTGCGGGGTGTGGTGGAGCCGTTGGATGGCGAAAAGATGGCGGAATTGGATAAAAAAAGATATGAAGGAAACGGCAATGCTCAAAGCCATGGGATACTCTGAATCGAAGGCACTGAGACCACCTACGGAGGGACCGAGGTATTGTAGGAACTCAAGATCGAAGGAGAACATGAATGTGTTAATTCCGCAAGTAATGATGGAGGAAGTCCCCAAATTTGACAATGAGGAAAGTGCGAACTACCAATGTGTGGATAGGGAGTCGCAATTACTGCTGCTATACGACTCCGAGGGTGGTTCTGCAGCATGGTTGGATAACTATCATGAGGATGGACCATTTCAGATCAAGATGATCGACGTCAGGACAATGGAAATGGACGCGATTGCTACAGAGGGTATGGGTCACAAGGTGGTGGCGGATATATGCAAGCGAAAGATATTTGGTGTTGTCGGACAGATATATGGTTACATGGGTATGCGACTGTGGAGTGGTGCCGAAATCCGTGGGAGCATGTGGGATAAGCAAACAAGGGCGAATGCTGTATTTAGAGCCCTAATGGTTATATTTCATGCGTGTGGAAGGGCCAGCATACCAATGTGCGTGATTACGGACATGGCCATGATACCCACTGGAGTGAATGACAACTATATGGAGAAGGATATAATGGTCGGAGTTGAAAGCCCAAATATTGAATATGAGTACTGGCATGACCGATGGTGGATGATGAATGCGGAATACGTATGAAGTGACTTCCTGGTGAGGGTGCGCGGGTCGTGGCCCAGGGGGGGTGGATTCAGCCCACGACGTAACAACCCCCTGGGCTAGACGGCCGAGTCGGGGCTCCCGACGCTGTACGTCATGGGCGACCAGCGGGGCGCTGCTGGCGCGAGGACGTGGACGTAGACTGGGACCTCTGAGGAGGCCGGTGTGGCGAGCCCCCCAGGGTGGGTCCCCACCTGGGGGGTTGGACTTCGTCGTGATGGGGTCGAAGTGCCTGTGTTCTTTTGGGGGAGTGTGAGGAGGTAGGATGAGGATCAGGTGGCCAGGTCGACCCCGTCACGACTGCATGTTCGGCCCGCGCGTCGCGGGCTGTGGAGACGCTACGAGGATTGCCTCTCTTGGTGCGAGCGCAGCAGCAGGAGGAGGAGGAGAAGAAGGAGGAGGAGAAGAAGGAACAGGAGGATGAGGAGGAGCAGGAGGAGGAGGAGGAGGAACCGGAGGAGAGGGAGGAGGAGGAGGAGGGAGGAGGGAGGAGGAGGAGGAGGAGGAGGAGGAGGAGGAGGAGGCAGGAGGAGGAGGGCCAGGCCACTCGCAGGGGCGTTCCGTGCGCGCCCTGCTCAGGCGGAGACGCGCTCTGTCGCCTGCAGGGCAAGACATTGGTTCTCCTCCTCCTCCTCCTCCTGCTGCTCTTTCTCCTGCTCCTCCTCCCTCTCCTCCGGCTCCTCCTGCTGCTGCTCCTCCTCCTCCTGTTCCTCCTTCTCCCTCTCTTGGCTTTTCAGGGTCGAGTCTAGCCTCAACTTCCCTCTCCTCCTCCTGCTGCTGCTCCTCCTCCTCCTCCTCCTCCTCGTCCTCCTCCTCCTCCTCCTCCGCCTCCTCCTCCTTCTCCTCCTCCTCCTCCCCCTCCTCTTCTTCTCCTCCTCCTCCTCCTCCTCCGGCGGAGGTGCTGCGCCCGCAGGTGGCCCCACCCGTTCGGGAGACTGGCCCGCAAGTGTGGCAATGTTTTGCACGCATTGCGTTGACGAAGAAAAGTGCCATTCACATAAACTTTAGGCGCTCCGCGCGGGTTTCTTGTATCCGCGCTGGGGCCCCCCCGGCGGCGCCTCCGGCGCCGCCCCTGGCGCGCTCCGCGCGCCAGTTAGGGGGGGTCCAGCGCAGATCCAAGAAGTCCGCACGTATCGCCGAAGGTTTTTTTTGTTTTTTGTTGTTTCTTAGTTTTTTTTCATCTTCGGGAAACTGGCCCGCAGGCGTGGCAATGTGTTGCACATCTTGTGGGGCCCTCCGGGAAGTGTTGGTGGCTCAAAGGTCGGGTCCCGAAGGAGTGGGTCCTCAGAATAAGAAAGGGGTCCAGTGGTTGATCTACACTGTTTGAGGCACCTCGTCCTTAGGACCCCATCCCTCAGGACCCCATCTTTGAGCCGCCGAAAGAGGGGAAGGAGGACGAGAGGAAGAAGAAGAAGGAAGACGATAAGGAAGGGAAGGGTGCCTTTTGGTGGTCTGTCGGGATCCTCGGACTCCTAGGGATCCGGAGTATTCCCATGCATCCCCAGGCATCCTATCCCGAGGAACCCTACGACATCCGAGGAATCATTAGGCATCCTCTGAGAATCCTTTGGGAATCGCGAGAATCCTCAGGAATCCGTAGGACCCCTGTGGAAGTTGAGGAATCCTAAGGGAATCCGAGGAATCCTTTTTGGAATCCCACGAATCCCTCGGAATGCATCGGAATCCTCTAGGACTTCCTGGGACTGGCTTCTAGGATTCCCAGGGATATTGTTAGGAATCCCATCCTGAAGAATTTTACGAATCCTTATGAGTCCTCAGGAATCTGGAGGGAATCTTGAGACTTGTTTCGCAACCCGTATAAAACCTTGGGAATCCTACAAATCCATAGGAGTACGAATGTATTCCCGGGACTTTTAGGAACCCATCGGAACCCCAGCAGTGGCCGCGGCGGGAGACGAGTTATTTCCCCAATCTGATTTTCGGTCACAATCCGTCAATACACCCGCGCAAGAAAAAAAGATAGTTCTCATTTTAACCAGGTGTTTATGAAAGACCCCCAGGAAGGGCCGATAGCCTGGGAATCCACGCGCTGAAGCGAAGGCGTGCGCCAGAGGGTATGATCCGCGCTGCGCGCCTTGCCGCCCCGGTCAGACAACCCGTTCCCCTCCCTGGGGCGGCGCGGTGGCGCGGAGTGACACCGTGGTTCCGCGTGGCAGTCCCCTGTAGGACGAGTGAAACCGAGAGTTGCCCTTATTCAGCTCTTTTTCCACTGCTCGATCTCTCGCGGCGCTTTGCTGCTCTTCAGGAACGCTTAAATGGAAGATTGCTGCGGTCGCGCGGTGCATGTAGCTGCCCGCATGGTGCATGTTGGGTGGCCCATGGCCTGGCCAGAGGGAGAAGTGTCCTGGCCGACTGGGGGGATAAGGGTGGAGGAGATCGAGGCTCCTGGGCGGCGAAGACGGGAGCGAGGACTGTGTGCGTGTGTGCGTGTGCGTGTGTGTTTGTGTGTGCGTGTGTTTGTGTGTGTGCCTGTGATTCGCTTTCTGGTGCCCCCGTTCTTTATGGCTGGTGCAGCCAATTCAGCCTCGCCGCCGACGGAAAAGTGTGTGTGTGCTTGCATTTTATGTGTGGCCATCGCGGTTGGGGCGATGGAGCCTCGCAGAGTTCTTCGCCCGCCCCTCCCTCTTTCGATGCGCTCCCTGGCCCCCTCCCCCCCTCCCCCTCGTCCGCGCACATGCCTCGGGCCACGGTGCCCTCCTCCCCCTGTTTCCTGGAGGTCGAGGCTTGGGGTCGGAGGGCCTCGGTGCCTCGAGGAGCGAGGACCGACGAGCCGTGCTTCCGCATCGGGGGCCTGCGATCGGGGAACGCGGCTCGAGGATCGAGGATCGGGGGTCGAGTATCGAGAATCGGTGATGGAGGATCGAGGATCGAGGATCGAGGATCGAGAAATCGGTGAGGGTCGAGGATCGAGGGCCGAGAACGGGCGCAGCCCCCTCGCTGTCGTCTCACCGAGGCGCCGACGGACCCCTGGAGTAAAGGCTCGCACCGCGGCCTCTCGCAC